CCTTTATGGCACAAGTGGCCCCGAAATCGATGGTCGCTCAGCCTTCCCAACGTACATATTCCCTCATCCTGGAATGAGGTCACTGAAGGCAGGAGAAATGGGCCAAAGAGCCGGAAAGTGCTTGAGGGTTTGGTGAAGTCTGTGGGGCTGGCTGTGGTCATCGCCTCTCAGGAGACACAGCCCCATGTTTAGGCTCCAAGGAAGGTCACAGGGGGCGTTGCACCTCTGCCCCTGTGCCTGGCACGGAGGGAAGGCTCAAAATATCTCTTAAAAGAATGAAGGCACGGGGCACCTGGGTGGCTTAGTCGGTTGAGCCTCTGACTTCGATTCAGGTCATATCTTGTGGTTCGTGAGCTCGAGCCCCACGTCGGGCTCTCTGCTGTTAGTGCAGAGCCTGCTTCAGATGCTCTCTCCCCCCGTCTCTCTGCCCATCCCCTGTTCGTTCTCTCTTTCTTTCTCAACCTCTCACAAAGATAAACAAACATTAAAAAGGAAAAGAGCGAAGGCAGAAATCTCCAGGGCAAATTTGGGGATGAGACGATGTCCCTGTGTTCTACCCTCTTTGCTTCCCAGGAAGGAGAACGAAGTCTCCTACAATAGTCATCAGATTTGGTTCCCGGGTCAGCTCTCACGTCCAGCAGGGGAAGGAGGGTATGTCTCACCACTATTTCCTTCTAAACTTCCTTCAAAAAATAATACTGTCTACTCTGTCTAAAGCGATCTCTTCTTAAAACGGTATTAACCCCTGGGGCGCCGGGGTGGCTCAGTCGGTTAGGTGACTGACTACGCCTCGGGTCATGATCTCACAGTTCATGAGTTCGAGCCCCACGTCGGGCTCTGTGCTGACAGCTTAGAGCCTGGAGCCTGCTTCCGATTCTGTGTCTCCGTCTCTCTCTGTCCCTCCCCTGCTCGTTCTCTGTTTCGCAAAAGTCAATAAATGTTAAAAAAAAAATTGTTTAAAAAATGGTATTAACCCCTTAAAGTAGGTAGACCGCAGAGCGTGCCTGGGACATCTCCTCAAGCCCAGGGTTTGGTGCCAGTCTTTCGGGATGCCAAGGCACATCTTTAGGAAGGGTCCCTCAGGTCCCGCAGTCCAAGGGAAGGCATTAAGTTTATGTAAGTACTGTGCCTTCCGTGGAGAACTCTGGAAGGGACTGGAAGAAAGCTGGGGTCTCAGAGGGCCCATGGTTACACAGGGCATGGCAGGACGCCTCTGTCCAGCCTGTGTAGGAAGAGGCCCCTCATGGAGCAAATAGCACCGTAGCTGGCTGGCAGTCACTCAGCAGGGCTCCGGCCACTGGGGAGGGGAGCTCATCCAAAGCGCCCTGAACTTTTCAGTCTCATTGGCGTGAAGACAGACACTACATGAGGTTTTTCTTGCCAGGTGGCTCCAAAGAGACCCCAACCACTGTGCATCAAGTAGTTCTGATTCCCACGTGGGCTGTTGGCCGCTGTATTGTTTTTCCCAAACTACTGGTAAGAGTAAGAATGAAAGGACTTTCAGCATTCTTGTTGAAAGTGATAGCATGTCCCACTCTGCCCACCCCTTAGTCCCTTTGATGGGCAGATCCCGGTTACTAAGCTCATCAGTATGGTGTGGGAGGGGAGACCAGAGCTTGCTGTGGCAGCCCTGCTGGCCTCTCCCTGAGGCACCCCTGCCTGGGCTCTCCCCGCAGCCCCCCTGCCTGGCCTCTCCCCACAGCGGCCCTCCACATGCAGACTGAGGGTACCTGAGCTGCTCATCCAGAGGGCTCCTCACCTGGCTTGGGCCTGTCTCCAAGAGGAATGACTCCTGAGTCAGGGCCATACTATTTATCTATTCCTAACTGAAGGGAATTGTTTCCTGAAATTAATAGGAAGTGTGGGACCAGGATGGTCAGAGAGGAGTTGAAAGACTGATTCCCCCGACGTGGCTCCAACCAGGTTCAGTTCTTTTCTTCTTATTTTGTTTATTATTTTATTAGTGAAACAACAACAACAACACACACACACACACACACACACACACACACACACACACATGCTCACTCCAAACTAAAAACCAACAAAGAATTGCTCAACACGGGCAGTCTATCAATTTATTGGGAAACAACCAGTTGTTCAGCTATTTTAATGAATGAAATAAAAGTTAGCCTACTCAGGCATCTGGGACCAGAGCCCATCTGACAAGTCTGAGTCAGTTTAGAGCCCGTGATGACAGATGGAGAGGCCCAGAAATGGGGCTACTATGGGCCATTTGGGGGGAAGAGAGGCCAGGCTGTTGGGACTCAGTGGGGTGGGGCAGGAGGCCGGTGAGGAGGTGGGGGACGCAGGCTCATGGAGGTGGGGGAAGCTGAGACCCGGCCGGGGTGTGGTCCGCGTCTGCAGGGCCAGGGGCAGTGAGATGAGTAGCCGCAACTAGTGGGGAGGAAGTCAAAATGTCACTCCCCTCCCCATTTAATAGATGAAGAAACTGAGGCTCTGAAGGGTTAATAGGCTTATTCCGTGCCACCTAACAGACCCATAAGCAGGAGAGGACCGATATCTACACTTGTAATTCCATAATCAGTTCTTGTTCCAAGAGCTTGGAGAAGTAGAAAACACTTGTAGGGACCACTAACCAAACATCGCTTTAAAAATGTGGTATGTGTGTGTGTGTGTGTGTGTGTGTGTGTGTGTGCATGCGTGTGTGTGGTGTGGTCTATGCCAGAAGCTTCCAGCAGCTTCCCTTCTCTGCTCCAAGGTCTGGCCCTCTGCCCAGACCCATACTCCACTCCCGGTAAGTTGCCCAAAGGCTTTGCACCTCACCTGGCTGGTGAACCTACTGCCGAGAATGTAGGCTCTTTCAGCTCCTTGACTGAGGTGGATAAGTTCTCCACTCCTGGGTATCGAGAACTAGCATCCAGACAGGCAATTATCTATTCTGAATACAAGAAGCTTCTATTTTTAAACCACACAAATTTTGTAAATAGTCTAACCCACTAGCCTGAGAGATCGACTCCTTTCTAGTTTCTGTGTTCTTTCCTTTATCTGAAACATCCTCAGGGATTTTATGAATCTTCCTTTTTATTACCTATTTTCAGACAGCTCCTACAGCCCTTGTGCATCACCATCGATTTTTAATTTTTACATAAATATACATCATGAGGAGTATAAGATGCTGAGAGATCACATAAGCTGAGAGAGGGGGATGACCTTTCCAAGTGTCACACAGCCAAGAGATCTGAGATCAGAGCCCAGAGTCCTTACTGCTTGGTTGTTCAGGCGTTTTTTAATATACATTTGTATTTTTTAGGATTTTTTGGCCTTGAGTAGCTGACTACATTACTCACACCAGCACCACTGGGAGTCTGGAGGCAGGGCGGGCTCTGAGTTCACCTAATCTGTAGCCCAGCTCTGGTTTCTCTGCAAAACCCTGCATGTCCCTTCTCTGTGTTGGCTTTGCCCCAGAGTCACTTCCCCCATGGGGCAAATGGTAGTCCCTGGCATCCACACCTTCCTGCCCAGGACATCCAGAGAAAGAGAGAGTGCAGCACCCTCATACGCCAACAAAGAGCCCCAAAATTCATTCATTGGATCACATAAGTCATGTGCCCCTCCCTGAACAGCCATCAGTGCAGAACCTCACCACATCCTGCTTGGATTGGGCCCAGCTCCTGAACCACCACAGTCAGGGCCCCCTTGGAGCTGGAGATAGGGCCCTGCCCCTGAGGCACATGGGCTGTCTGTCTAAGGAGCGGGAGATACCTAGAAATGTAAAGTCCTGTTAGGAAAATGGAAGAAATGGGTAGGATTCACTAGAATTTTCAAACACTGGGTCAGAGCCTCTTTGAAGACCCTGTCCACGGTGCTGAAGGCTGTGTCCAAAGGACCTGGCATAGAGGGTTTGAGGACATGAAGAACTTGGGGATTCAGGGCACCCCTAGGTGTAGATCCTGTTCAGGTATTTAGTTACCCTCTTAGTCACTCAACTGGAAAAAGCCCACTAGGTGGGCTCAGTTCCCCTAGGCTGGGGATCCTGAGGTTGGTTGCTAATAGCTCACAACTCCCCTCCCCATTCTGGAAAATTGCCTTTGGTGGGTAGGAGCTAATTGACCTGGGAAGTTCTACCTCAGGCCCTGCATCTTGGGGGCAGACTGACCATAGCCACTGACAGTTGTCCAAAAGCCAGCCCCCTTTGTCTCACAGGGTCAGTGCTGCCATATGGTTGATGCTCCAGAGCCCTCTCCTGTGGATCAGGCCAAGTCTCCATATTACATGGGGCCACATCCGTGCTCAGTTCTTTCCCTCTCTGTCCTGCTTGCCTCACTTCCTGAGGGACTCCTCCTACACAGGCAATGAATTCCTGAATTCTCACTGCGGGCTCTGCTTGCTCTGCTTGTTGGGAACCCACTCTAAGACAACCATGAACAGTCTTGACTGTTGAGGAGCACATTATTTCCCATGGATTGCATATAAATAGAGATATAAGTTACAGGAAAATACACAGTAAAAACAAAGGACAGAGCAAAGAAATATAAATTGGTGTAAAAATCATTGACAGTAGCATGTCCAGCTAGAGAAGTCAACACACTTTTTAGAATATCATGCTTTTGGCATCTCTCTGTAACCTTAGGACTGGAAATTGGGGAAAAGCAGAAAATGAAACTTTTGTCCCCCAAAAGCTCAGTCTTGTTGGGAGATGCTGTGCTGAGAAGTGGCAAAAAGGAGCAGGAGTCCTGGGGCCAGGCAGATTTGGCTTTTCTTCTCTATAACACTGCCTCTCTTTCCTGGAAAAGGGATATGGAAAGAGGTTTATTAGAGACCTGGGCTCTCCTGGGCTGGGTATCCACCACTTATAGACCATGTGATATTAGACAAAGGGATTTGTTTATGCAAATTAGTCAGGATTTTTGTTTGGTTTTAAGGAAAAAATCCAACTCAAACCAGCCAACCCATAAAGGGAAATTTACTGGCTCTTATAACTTAGAGAAACAGAAGTGAGTGAGCTTCGGGTGAAGCTTGATCCAGGGACTCCAAAGATGTCACCAAGTATGTCTCCTCATTTCTTTCTTTCCATCTTTCTCTCTCTTCTTTCCTTCTATATATGGAACCCATGGCCACACTGAGTTCTAGGACTGTATAATGAAGCCAGACACCCCAAAGTTAGGAGTATTGTGCATTCTCAGGGAAAGACAACGACTTTTCTGATGCTGGTCATTCTCATCCCTTAACCAATCAGTGTGGCAGTGGATGGAGTATTCTGATGGCCTAGCCCTAGTCACATGCCCACAGTGTGGGGTAGTCTTATTATGATCCAATGTAGTGGAGGGAGTTTCTCAAAGGAATTGAGATACCATGATTATAGGATGGGGAGAGAGTACAAAACCAAGAGATTTCTTCTACACTCAGTCGTCTCATTTATGAAATAAGGACAAATGTTTCTAGTCCCTAGAGTGATTGTAAAGTGTAAATGCTAAAATGGATGCTAAAGAATTTATAAACCTCACTGTGCTGCTTCTTTCTTCTGGTCTTTATGAATAATAGAAGGGCAGTAGGATTGTCTTGTTCTTTTTTCTACTAACCTCAGGTCTACTACTCAACAGGACAATCGCCAAAGAAAATGAACCCCATCTTGGGCCTGGGCCTACTTTTGGCTGGCCTTCTCACTGTGGAAAGTCTTCAGCAGCCCAACCTCCCTCTGAAGAATCATGTACCAGTGAGCCAGATCGAATCATGGAAGGGAAGGAGGGCAGCCCAGGAACTCACAAAGCGGAACACAGAATTCGGCTTCAAGCTTTTCAGGAAGCTGGCGTCCAATAGCCCGGACAAGAACATCTTCTTTTCCCCCTTGAGCATCTCTTCAGCCTTTGCTATGTTATCTCTGGGTGCCCAGGATTCCACCCTGGATGAGATCAAGGAGGGTTTCAACTTCAGGGATATTCCAGAGAAAGACCTTCATGAAGCCTTTCATTACCTCATCCACAGGATAAACCAGGAGGGCCAGAACCTGAAGCTGAACCTCACAAACACCTTGTTCATCGACAAGAAGCTGAAGCCACAGAAGAAGTTTCTGACAAATGTCAAGAACCAGTACAATGCAGACACCGTCCCCATCAACTTCCAGAACTTGGAAGATACTCGGAGGCAGATCAATGACTATATCAATCAGAAAACACAGGGGAAAATCAACAACCTGATCAAGAATATAGATCCTGGCACTGTGATGCTTCTTACAAATTGTATTTTCTTTCTAGGTAAGGCTTGGGGCATGTTGGCATGGAAAGTATAGGATGACCAGTAGACTTAGATTAAAAACCTGGGTTGGCCACTTGCTTGCTCTGTGACCTTAATTCATATGTAATGAAATTATCAGAACTCTACTTTCCCTATCTGCAAAATGAGTACCTTTATTCACAACTCATAGGGCATTTATTGGGATCCAAAGTAAAAATGTATGAGAAACCAATTTGGGAAAGTCTAAATTATTCTCCATATGTGCATTTTCATTATTACTGATTATCCTAATACAACATTGGTTGTAGAGATTGGAGTGATATTCTTTTCCCTGTTTCTTAGATGAGGGATGTGTAGCTTGGAAAGAGATTGATTTAGGGTTACAAAGCCAGTCAAAGCAGGACTAGTCAGGACTAGATTCTAGTCAGGACTAGAATCTACTTCTCTTGACCCACAGGCTGTGCATTTATAGCACTCCAAGTAGACACCCAGGATGGTAATTGTGTTGATGATGGCGATGAGGTTCACTTTGGCGGGTGCCCTGGTCTCCTTGTCACATTTTGTAGATGTGACAAATCTACAAGGTGAGAGACTGAATCTGAGGGTGAGAGACTGAAAAAGAAGATGAAAGAATATTCCCAAATCTAAGTTTCACTTACCACCCCCCCCCAACCAGTCACCACCACACACAGCCACTCACATGCCACATGCACACTCAAAGGTTGGCCAATATAGGCAAGAATCAGAGGCCAACAACTCTCAGATCAGGCAAGATCATGTCGGGGCTATCAGAAACATGGTCCTGAATATGGAAGTTCAGCTCTTCCCAAATCCACAGTGAGACTGATGGCATAGAGGAAAAGAGCAGAGGGAGAGAGGAGAATCTGGAATTTCCCAACGTTTCTACATCCCCTATATTTTAAAAGCAATGACAACAATGATGCTGATGATGACTAGCATGCACTCAATACTCAATGTACAAGGTCATTGATCTGTGCTGCCTTTCCCACTCAGTCACACAGCAGCCCTCTAAGGTACTCATCAGTCTCTTCATTCTTCAGACAAGGACGCTGAAGCCGAATGCAATTGAGACACTTGTTCAAGGTCATCCTTCTGGAACAGTGAAGTCAGAAGTTGAGTTCAGGGACTTGGCCCTCAGGGTCCCATACTGGGGGCTCTGAGATTAGTGGGTGTGAAAAGACCCAGGTCTCACTTTATGCTAAATGGTATCAAAGAGTAGTCAGGATCAAAATGGAGGGGTCCAAACACCCAGCTTTGAGTGTTTTCTTCTCTTCGGTAGGCTCCCCAAAGCAGCCTGTTCCATCGGTTTTCTCAGTCCTACCTGAGGGCAGCTATTCCAGGACTGACTTAGAACAGAGCTGAGTATTTTCACTCACATAAGACCAAATAGTTCCTACTAAGTATAACCCAGGCCTCTCTACTGGGACACAATCCAAGGGCTGTCTCAGCCTCAGCAGCACCTGGGCTTCAGGCAGTCCACAGGTTCCCTCTCAGCCCCGCAGCCCTGATCATGGCTTCTTTGGGAACTGACAGTCAGACCCATGCCACCTTACCAGGAGATTTCAGGGTATGGCACATGGGCAAGGATTCCTGGAGATGTGTCCTGATATCCCAGAGTATCCAAACCCCGTCCTTGAATCCACGTGGATAGAGATCATTGGTTAGCTGGGTCCAGTCACCTCTTCCCTTTCAGGAAACTCATGTCACTTTGTCCTTCTTCAATCCTAAGCCAGGTGGAAACAAGAATTTGATCCAAAAGCAACTAAAGAGGAAGACTTCATCCTGGATGGAAACAAGTCAGTGAAGGTGCCCATGATGTTCCGCGGGGGCATATATGAAGCCGGCTATGATGAACAGCTCTCCTGCACTGTCCTGGAAATGCCCTACCAGGGCACCATCACTGCCATCTTCATTCTTCCTGATAAGGGTAAAATGAAGAATGTGGAGGAGGCCATAAACACGGACACTTTGGTCAGATGGAAAAAACTAACAACACGAAAGTAAGAGGGTGCCTGCCATACTCAGCAACTCCCTTCTTCCTTTTTACTTCTTCTAGCCCAGATCTATTGAGCTCTAACCCCATGACCAAGTCCTATTTTGGGCTCCGTGATGAACTTGTATTTTGGTAGGAAGTAGACCAGAAAATGAGTCCTAGGAATATAGCGAAACACTTGTTCTTAGAGGGAGATGGTTATATCATAAGAGTGGAGTGGACAGAGAAAAATCATGGTGGGCAGTGGTGGGGGGCGGTGCTCTATGGAGCAGGTGGCATTGGGGTTAAGTCTTCAAGGCTGAACAGTGGTGCGTGTGGATGAGAAAGAAGTGATGGAATCCTAGGCAGAGAGAAACTGCAGGGACAAACATGAGGTGTCAAAGGGAGTTGTCTGTCATACACAGAATCATGTTTTTAACTGTAATGTTATCATAAAACGGGTGAAGTGCAGCCCAAATAAGTTATACTAATAACAGTTGAAGGACTAAAGTGAGTAACTAATTTTTTTAAGCATAAAATTAGAACAGATTTAAGACGAGCCTACAGAATTCTTCTCAGGCACTTGCTTAATAGTAGATGTTCTTGGGAAGAGTAAGGGCTGGGGACTTGGCATCAGTGTCGACTTGGTGTCAGTGTAGATGCGCATGGTGCCTGGGGAGCTTCAGGGCCAGGACAAGCATATGGCAGCTGGAAGTGCACAGGAGCGTATCCCCGGAGCAACTGTTGAACACATGTTGGATCTCTAAATTGAGCTGAAAGCTCATGAAAGAGAAATTCCAGTTCTGAAGGCCTCAGATAAAGTCACTGTGTCAGAATGGGGAGGAACAGCAGGCTAGATGGTAGGTCTTCCCAAGAGGGCTGCTATGTCTTGGGATCTGCACAGCACCTCCTGACCCTCCCTGCTGAAAACCAGGGCCCGCGGTGGGTAATGGCATCTGGGCCCTGAAACGGGAGGAAGTGTCTGGGTTCCAACCTTAGCTGAGACCCAGTTTTCTCTTCTGTGGCATGGTCCACTAACGCCGGCCTCAAAGGACTCTTGAGGGAATCAAATGTGCCGTAGCAAATCATGACCCCACGGAAGGCACAGACCTTTGCCTTCCAATGGGTTGAAGAGGCAGGGTTCCAAAGTTCTCAGAAGAGCATCTGAACTTCAGGTTTATTGAAAGACAGGCGTCTTGTAGGTCTGGTCCCCTTACCTACGTGGTGAACCTCTGGGATGGCAGCCCATTGGTTGAAGATGAAGGCACATGTCTCTTAACCTGGGGATGCCACCAAGAAGGCTGGCAGTTTCCAGCTTGTGCCCTCCAATTTCTGAGTTCACAGAGGTGCCTTGGGGAATGAAGGGTATGGAAGGGTGTGAAAAGTGGGCTGCACACCCTCCACCCACACTTTATCCAGAAGTCCTGGCTTCATGAGACGTGACCTCCATAAGGTCACATTTCTCTTAGTATTCAAATTATGATGACCAGAGACCCTGCAGCTGGGCTGGAGGGACTCAACATCCCCATCTCTAGGCTATTCCTACCAGTTTTCCATGGGGCGCAGCTCTGGTCCCAGCAACTGGTGCTGCATGTGGCCTGTGCCCAAGCCCCTCTGCAGCCCTTGGAGCTGAGACTGCCATCAGGACACCGGTTCCTAGAAAACTGTGGCCATCTCTCTGGTTTCGGGAGAAGGGCCCACACTCCACCCTTTGTGAGATAGGCCCTTTGAGATTTCCTGCAGGCCAACAAAGGCCTTCCTGGAGGTTTGGGCTTAACACAACCAGAGATCTTCGCAGAGGCCCGGGGATACTCATAGCACACAGAAGCGGCTTCTTGTGAAGTCCAAGCACAGGCTGCTCATAGGGGTTCCTCCACAGTGCATCCTAGCTGGCTCCTGTTCCTGACCCTCCCACATCACAGTAGGACTGCAACCGCTTCCCAGGGGAGTCCTGGCACCAACTCCTGTGACCCCTGCCCCACACCAGGAGCATATCCTTCACGAAGTGGACAAAATGACCGTTTTCAGCCCTAAGCAAGAGCGTGTCGAGCCTCTCTGGTCAGCACCCTATTGTGGCTCCCCATTTCACTCAGAAAAAAATGACCCAGCTTGCCTGATTCCTTTGTCTCCTTCAAAGTTTCTCCAATCTTCCCTGTGTCTCAGCATCCCTAATTCCCCCAAGTTGATCTGGATTTTTTCCCATTGCATGCATTGCCTCCTTATACACAGGCTCCCCGTCTATGCATCGATGCTTATGGGATGCTTTTCATCATTTGGGTTTTCTTGTCTGTCTTCCCTGCTAGAGCACACACTCGAGGTCATGAGTTTTGCCTCTTTCATTCACACATGCATCCAAGCACCTCGAACACCACCCCCTGTATACAAGAGGCACTTAATTTGTTGAGTGAATGAATGAGTGGGAAGGTAAGTCTTGGAGCCACAGGCCTGTGGCTGGTATTTAAAGCCCTGACACTGAATGAGATCCTTCTGGAGGGAGGAAAGATAGAAAATAAGAGGACCGAGGGGGTGGGGCTTGGAGCATCACAGACAGTACAGATGGGCAATGAGGTGATGCTGGCAAAGGGGGAGAGAAGGAGTGGCCGGTGAAGGAGAGAGAGCTGGACTCGGGTTGGAATGCTTCCACGTGGAGAAAGGGGACCCACTGTCTGGGAGCTGTCTCCTGGGTTAAGCGAGCAGAGGTCAACGGTGGCCCTGGACAGTGGGATGTTGATGGCAAAGGTCTAGGTGGAGTGGGCCGAGAAATAGTGGGAGAAGTAGAGATCTCTGGACGAGATGATTAATTTCTGCTTAGAAAAGGAGGAAAAGAAATGGGCTGGGAGCTGAGAGGTGACTCGGGGCCAGGGGAGATGAGTTTGCTTCTGTTCTGTAGGATAGAGGTCATCAGAGAGCATGACCTGTTCCTGGGGGGTGATCAGGCAGATGCCATTTATGATGGGGACTGCAGAAGAAGAGAAGAAACGTGGGCAGGAATGAGGTTGCGAATAGGCAACAAGAAATAGGGTTTAGAGCCAGGCGGACAGGAACCCAGGGCCCGTGGGTACCCCAGGGCCCCTGGCCCCAAGCCCCAGGTGGGGAGGCCGATCCGGATTCCACCTGCAGAGGATGCGAAGCCACCAACTCATGGGTGAAACGAGAAACACTTGCTGGTTGGTCACCAGCAGTGCCTACACGCATTTGCTTTAGCATCCTTCCTGCCTCATGCTTGCTGTGATTGGCATCACCATTTCGCCCAAGTGGCTTAAGAACGTGAGATCATTTGTTCCAAGAGTCAGAATGGATTTGAACTCAGTTCTGCCTGGCTTCAGATCCCAGGACCTTGCTGCCTCTGGCATCTGGCTCGCTGGGTCAGGACTGGTTCAGGGCTTGGGCAAGGCTGAGACCGCGGTGGGGACACCTCAACGTCTGTGGCCCATGGGGCCCTGAAACAGCGGAAACTTGAGAACATTTCTGTGGATGAGGGCTCTGGGGCAGGTTTGATAGGGAGAAGGGACATAGTTGAGAGGTGTTTTGAAGCCAGGGTCCCAAGGTCAGAGTCCCTCCTCACTCTGGGGACAGAGAGAAGGTCTGAGACCCTCAGTGCTGAGAGGGCCAATGTCCCACTCATCCCTGCCCTGTGCCTGCCCAGGGAAGCAGGGACACCCTGCTGCTCACCTGTTACTCCCATCTCCCCCAGGGTCGTGGACATATCTTTGCCCAGATTCTCCATCACCGGGACCTATGACCTGAAGAGGACGCTGTCCTACCTGGGTATCACCAAAATCTTTGAAGAGCATGGTGATCTCACCCGGATCTCCCCTCATCGAAGCCTAAAAGTGGGTGAGGTAAGCGGGCCTGGCCTGGATGCCCCCCCCTCCCATGGGGAGCCTTCGCACAGCCCTGGGCCAAAGCCATTGTCACAGCAGCCATACGAGCCAGGTCTCATCCCTCCAGTCAGGCCGGGTGCCAGTCCAGCTCTGTCCTTAACCAGCCATGTCATCCTGGGGGGACCACATAACTTCCCATGCCTCATGTTTCTGGTCTTTGGAGTTGGAAATACCAAGCTCCTGATGCTATTTTGGAAGTCGATTCTGTGCAACGAATGACTGCTCAGGGCCTGGAACATTTATTAAGGCCTAGGACTGGTCTAGCTCGGACCCAGAGTCTGTCCCTAAGGCCTCACGGGCTTGTTGGGAGTAAGTCGCAAACATGTTCTACGTGAGAAAGCCAAGGGCCCTGTGATTTCCAATGAGGCTGAACACCTGTGTGCTGGGGGCAGAGAGAACCGCATGGGGTGGTGTCCTGGGATATAGCAGATCTCAGACAGGACCTTCAGTTAAATCCAAATTTCAGATACGTGACAAATAGTTTCTTTAGTCCAGAATATGGGATATACTTACACTAGAAGAAAGTCATCATTTCCCCGAAATTCAACTTGAATTGTACATGCTATATTTTATCTGGCAACCCTACTTTTAAGGTAAAAGGGCGTTGGGGGGTGGGGGGAGACTTCAACAAGCGGGGATAGGCGTAGGGAGGATCTCCCATTAAAGGGAACGGCTTGGCCAAAGGCTTGCAGCCTGGACAGCACGGCGTCCCGAGTGGTGGAGACTGGCTGGTGCTACATGGGAAGTTCAAGCCGATCTGGGAGAGATCTTGGTTGCCAAGCCCAGCTGACAGCAGGCACTGATTCAGATTTATTTCCCACTTTGCCAGAGGAAGAAAGACAGTTAATAGAATTTTCTCGCTTTTAAGTTCTTCCTCCCGTAAAGAGTCAATGCCAGCTACCCCTTTCCGGCAGGCTTTTATTCGGTTCAGTGGCTCATTTCTTTTCCACAGTTAGACGTGCTGATGGCTGTGATTCTATGTGTCAACAACGGCTACCGGCCCGCTAGTGAACTTGGTAGAATTCCGTAGAGTGGAATGCCATGCGTCAGTATTCCGGGAAGCCCATCCATCCCCCCAGGGCGGGTCACCTGGTCACAGATGTCGGTGTCCTGGGGTAGATCTGGGGTCTCGGTCATCTCCAACGGCTCCCCCAGAATCTGGCTCCTTCCTCGCTGTCCTCCAGGCAGATGAGAGGACTATGGACAGGACTTGGTGGGGATACGATCCCCTCCCTTCCATCTAGCTGAGGTTCAATAGACTCCTTCTGCCCTTACACCCCTCGACACTTCCCTGTAATTCACGGAAGGTTAGCAAACCACCCCACCCTCCCCGCTGCAGCTGGCACTCCCCTCGCCTCACTCTTTCCTTCACGCTGTTTGCCCATATCCTTCTGCAATGACGGCAGAAGAACGAGGAGCCCCGGGGCAGCTGGCACCAGCCAGGTTACTGCCGTGCTGGGCAGCCTCGGCCGAGACCTCTCCTTCTCCGGAGCTCCGAGGAGCTTGGTGACACTGACCGCACCCCTGATTTCTGCAGGCGGTGCACAAGGCAGTGCTGAAGATGGATGAGAAGGGGACGGAGGGCGCAGCGGGCTCCGGAGCACAGACGCTGCCCATGGAGAAGCCGCTCTCCATCACCATAAACAGATCCTTTTTGGTGCTTATTGAGGATAGCGTCCTGTCTACTATAATCTTCATGGGAAAGATTACTAATCCTACTGGGGCGTAACGGGGACTTCCGGCGATGGCTCGGGGCTGAGAACGTTTTGTCTGCCTGAGATCGGGATTGAGGACCTTCTAATCTAATCCTACACCGTCAAGAGCTCCCAAGAACACCGTCCACACAGGCAGCACGGCTGGCTTTGGGGGCTCCTGTGCCTCAGCCCTCTCCCTGCCCTTTCTAGTGTAGGATTCGGACCCCCACCACCACCCACTTGGCTGGCTGTGATCTTCTCTCCCCGGAGAGGCAGAGGGGCTTCGTGATTTAATAAACACCCCCTCAGTTCTGCTGTCTGTTGGTGGATAATTTGGGGAAAGCAACGAGATGACATGAGCACCCAGACTTTGGAGGGAGAGACGCTTGGGTTCACATCTGAGGAACAGAGTGTCTCTGGGAAAGCCACATACCTCCTCTGAGCCTCTATTTCTGTGTTCCTGAAACGAGGGCAGTGACAAATCCCTTCTGGGGCTCTGAGGAAACTAGCAGCCTTCGTTAGAAAAGTTAGTTCCCCTTGGTGAGCCCTTAGCCTTGGATCTTTGGTATGCGATCTACAAAGTTATGTCGCCCACGGTGTCCCCATGGGAACTCCAGGATCAGCCAGGCATCCAGTTGGAGGGTAAAGTAGGGGTGGGGCTGGCCCAGCGCTGGGGGGTGGAGCCTGGAATAGCAGCGACGAGGGTTCAGTGCCAGGTGTATCTGATTCCAGAGCCCACAGAGAAGAGCCTGGGGTTTGAACCTGTTAGCGAGCTCAGCTCAAGAGTGAATGGGGTGGGGGGAGGGGGTTCCCTGCACCTGCCTAGAAAACGTGGCCCCGCAAGATCTGTCCCACATGCCCATGGAGCTATGTAGATTAGAAGCATGGGAGCCCTCGTTTCCAGCAGCTGATTCCTTTGCCTCCTGCTGTAAATGCCCACTGCCCACGTGTTTTGGGGGGAGGGGGTCCTGAGTGGCGTGGCCACGAAGAAGCCTGAGCTGGCATCAGCTGGCATCCCCTGGGGGTGCCTAGCAGCTCACCGCTTACTGTGCCTTTTGTGTTCTGGTCACAGCTGCCCCGTGGGGTGGCCAGAATGGACAGACGTGGAAACTGAGGCAGAGCCATAAAGTGATTTTCCTACGGCCTTGTGGTTTGCCGTGGGCCACAAGCACTTGTCTTCTGGGCCAGGGCCGGGAGGGGTTCCACGTGGACTTGGGGGCCTAGCTAGCCACTCCTGAGCTCCTCTCCCAGCTAAGAGAGCTGCCCAGTCCACTTCAGCATGGGTGTATCCAACAGGCACCCTCTCTTCCGTCCTGGGCACCCCCAGGGCCCTGGAGACGCAGCCCACACATGGGCTGGTGGAGGAGGTCGTCTGGAGAGGGATTGGGCTACTTTACAGTGTGGTGAGGGCTAAGATGGGGGGGCACCGGAGTAAACATCCCTCTTTGAGAGGGTGGGAGACAGAGAAGGCTGAGACCCTGTGCCAGTGACACAGACATGGGGCAAAAAGCAGGGAATCCCTGCAGAGCACACTGTTGATGGTCACCATTTCCCCTGCACCAGCCTGAGGGAGGTGGGGGGGGGGCGGCGGGAAGACACCAGATACACACGGGAACCCTCAGTGGTCGGCTCAGGTCTGCGACATTATCCACTGGGGACAAGGGACAGTCAGACAAGCCACATAGTAGCTGGGTGGCTTGGACATGTCACTTAACCCCCCTGAACCTCATTTACTTTACTAAAACACGTGTAATAATACCTAGGTCCTGGGGCTGAGGAGCTCTGAGGGTTACAAGGCATGACATGCAATCCATGCCCGGCACATGGCAGGCATTCAGCAGTGGCCCCTGTTACACTCTCCTCTCACCATCCCCCAAGCATCTGAGATGACGAGCTCTTTTCCAAAATTCAGTGCTCCGGGCCCTTGCCTTGGCATTCCCCTCTACTGGGAATGCCCTCATCCTGCCTAACGAGCTCCTGCTCGTCCTCCAGCGCCCAGTCCATTAGGATATCTCTATGAGACTGTCCCTACCTTTCCGGCATCTTCCAAGCAGCCTCTCAATAAAGCACTCACCTCCATGGCTCCTGGGTCTGAATTTCCCCTCCACCCCCACGCGGGCTGCAATCAATCCTGCATTATTAAGCAGCGAATTATGGGGCGACAGCCTGTGCACGGGTGGCCGTTACAAACAGACCTGGCCCCTGCCTCCGTGACATTACTATCCAGCGGGAGAAACAGCCGTGAGTTGCAGACACACACACGTGCATTTCTGATCACGAGCTCCGGTGAGCATGAAAAGAAAGACAACCCTGGGGGCCTTCCAAGGTAGGTAACGGGGGTCCGACCCGGTCTGGGGGCTCCGAGAAGGCTGAGAAAGCTCCAAATGCTGGGAGTTTATCTGTTCTTGAATCGCCACAGTTAAACCCGCACACAGGTATGATTGCCTCAGTGTGGTTAGCGATCTAGAAAATGCTGGCTGGGCTTCCAGATAGAAGTTGAGCACAAGCTCCAATGCTCACTGGTCTTCCCTCTGACCAACTTTATTGTCAAAGGACTGTTGCACATCTTAAACACTTTTCAGACGATGTCCCACCTTCACAGACATACTTTTGCTCTGCACGACAGAAATAAATCCTATCGTGGGGGAAAGAAAGAGGAAGAGCTTGGAGTGGGAACACAGACAGATTCCGCCAAGCAGGGGAAACAGCAGGTGCAGAGGACCTGGGGCAGGCAAGCGGCAGGGATGAGGAACTGAAACGAGATTAATGTGGCCAGAACAACAAAATAAAGCAGGAGGAGGTGGGCAGTGAGTGAGCCTGGGGCCTCGGGGGCTACAGGGAGAACGCTGATCTTTAGCCCAAGAACCACGGTGAGCTGTCACCGGTGCTGAGCTGGAGGGTGTCTTGGGCAAACACATGTGTTTATAAGTGTCCCTCTGGCTGCAGACTGGGGCGTCCCTCGGCCCCATTGCCTGGGCCATGTCTGTGTTTGCTGCAATGAAAGACTGGCACAGCAGTCCCCTTGCTCCGGACACGGCCAGCCCCCCTCCAGAGCTCCCCACTCCTCTGGGACGGAAGGCCACCGCCTGGGGAGATTGGCCTTGCCTGCTTCTCCCCCTGGGGATTGCCGCCTCCCTGCACCTGCTCTCTCCACCCCACCCTGCTCTTGCTCCCCATTCTCTGCTACACCCACCAGCTTCTTTCAGTGTGTTACTCCCGCTTCCAGAAAGATCCACGCCTACTTCTGCTAGAACACCTTCACAGGCCACCTGTTTGTGGATGGACTGACCCCACGGATGAATAAGTGAGTAAATTCGCCTTTGAAGCAACCAACACTGACTACCTGCCTCCCACGGGACTGGCATCGTGTCGGTTTTTCCACCAAGAAACCAACCCACCAACCCTTCAAGCTGGGCGACGGTTCCATTCTACGGATGAGAAAACCGAGGCTCAGGAAGACCACGTAACTTGCCCAAGTTCCCACAGCTGGAAAGCCACAGATCTGGAACTAAATGCAAGTCCCCTGAGCATTTCAGTTTTTCTTCGTCCACCCCCCCCTCCAGCAAATATTTTCTGAGTGTCCGTCCTGTGCAGGGACCGTTCTACGGGCTTGAAACGCATCAGTGGACAAAACATACAAAGCGTCTTGCCCCCCCAAGGGTTCCAAGTTAGCAGACAGAGGCATACGATAAACAATAGGGTTAATAAATGAAGAAGACAGGTGAGGGTGGTCGAGGTGCCGGTGGGGCTGGCGGGGGTCAGCTCGGCCTCCCTGAGAAGAGGACGCCTACTGCTCAGACAGTAGATTCTGTGATTCTGCTCTCCACGGCTTCTGTGGCACGATCAGCTTCCGGAGACTTCTGGCCCCAGGGATGCCCGCCAGGAGCGTACTTGACGATAGGAGCAGGGTTACAGCCCCAGCCAAGAAGGGAAGTGCCCCCATCAGTGTCCCACCTTTGCGATGACGGGGTGGCCCCGGATGATCTCCAAAAACCCTCCTGTCTCCAACAACACTTTGACATTCGTCTTGGAGACGAAAGAGCCTGCTCCAAAGTTTCACTGCCATGCGTTCATTTAGCCAGCAAATACTTAACAAGCATTAAGTGTGCCAGGCGTGGTCCCAGGCGTGGAGAAGCCGGATGAGAGCTTAGGGACCCGTGGCCCTGCTTCCTCCCATTCAGGCCCAGCTGGGTCACATCAGTGCTCAGGGGCAACAGTAGGAGTGTGAGGCCGGGACTCCCTTCTCTTTGGGAAACATGCTCACTATTTCCACTTAATTTCCTCTTTTAGTTTCAGTCCCAAGCCGCTCTTGATATTGCGGCTGAATCCACACCTCTTTTGTGCTACTCTTTACTCAAGATGGATCTTTAAATCAGTGTACGTTAAAAAGAAAGCAATCGGTTCGAACAGAAAAAATAATATCTGGTTTTCTATAGATGATAGGCATCATCTATAGAAACGTATATACATCATCTATACATCCCAGGACGCCATGATGCCTGGTGCGGCCGTCTTCCATTTCAGGGACTTTGTCAGGGGCTTCAAGCGGCTGGAGGTGGGCGGGAGGTCCCGGAGTCGGACAGACTGAAGTTCGAATCCCAGCTCTGCCGTGTATTTGGTTCGTGACATTAGGCAAGGCACTTAATTGTGCCCAATCCTTGGTTTTTCCTCTCTGTGAAGCGGGGATCATCATATTCATCTCAGAGGATATTTGGGCAGGGGAGGGGGTTACATAATGTAATGTATATGAACCTACTTTGCACACAGTAGGCACCCATCCGCATTAGTGACGCCTGGTAAAGGCATCCAGAGCCAGGGAGGAAGGCTACTGGGTGGGTGTCTCTCAAGGTAACCTTCCAGCACAGGTAACCTTTCGGTTGGTTTCTCTTGGTGGGATGCCAACGAAGGAATCCCAGATTCCAAGACTGGGCTGGGAAAGAGTCCCGGCAGGGTGAAGATCCTTCCTGGAACAGGAAGCCTGTGTCTCTTAGAATGTTGAAACAGTGACCTCTTTGCCAAAACCAACAGAAAACAA